AGGCTGTAAAAGGGGATGTAGTTAAATTGTACCAATGTGGCATTCTGTGGGGGGAGCAGGCCCAGTGTTTGAGAGTAGGACAAGCTTAGGTAGCATGTGTCCATCGAAATGACAAGACAGAGCAGGAGTTTGGGTGTTACGGGTATTGCCCAAAGGGGGCAGAGTTAAGGTTATGTGAGCATTTACTTTAATTCTGCATGTCCTGGTTTTCAGAAGCTTGAGTTTTGCTGAACTGGACCTTCTGGATGGGCACGAGCTCTCACTGGGAGACCTTAACTCCATTTCAATGAAGTTTTGGGGTATTTAATTTCCTAGCTGTTTGAAGAGAAAGAAACATGTTGGTAGGAGAAAGTGGTCCTTGTGGTGGCTGTAGATAGCAGTGGATAGGATGACGAGAGAAGCAAAAGGATCTTTTCAGAACCACCAAATTTTTTCTGGACAGGAGCTGTATTCTGTGCCTGTCTGGGCTCCCTTCACATCCACCCCAAGAACTTCTCCATAAGTGCAGCACAAAGCCGGACGCATCTATCTGCCACTGAAGTGGCCTATTTATCTTAATGAGCTATTCTGAGCTGAGTGAGAACCCCTCCAGGAGACGGTGCAGCCTGAAATAATCGCTTTGAGAGGTGTGAACTAAACTAAAGCCTGTTTTCAGTCTCTTGTTTGTTTGGTCCTTAATTGAGAGCCCTGGAGAACTAAATCCTTCTTTTCACCTATAAAGCAAGTGCACTTGTCCAAGGCAGTGTGTCTGACACCTAACCCAGAGGTGCCATGTCTAGGGAGAAGACAGGAGATTGGGCTAAGACCAGAGCTGTGATTTTCTAAGCGGCCGAAGAAGTTCCCAAGGACTCCTTTAACTCCATTTGGCCCTCCTCCAGAAAGGAGCCACAAAGTTCATTATTTGGACAATATACCCACCATCAGTGCCTCTAGGACAGAATGCAGGAGATCCAGTTTTTGGAACTTATTCCTTGTAGAGGAGATTTCTAGGAAGCCACACAGAAGCTGTGTGGGAGTGGTGAGCATGGTGGGTAGCTGGCCATTGATTTCGTTTTAAGCTGGATAATCCCCTTTTTGTGTGGTTTGTCCCCTGTCTGGTACTGAGACAAAACCAGACATGGTTTTGTCCAGTATCACGGATGAAGGACGCATGCAAGGTCACACTGGCAGGCAAGGCGATGAGGTAGGGGCAGGGCCACGGCTTTCCCAGAAGTACCAGAATGTCCGGTGTGGCATTGCTTTCTAGAAATAATAAACCCCATAATGGTTTATAGAAATATGCTTATGAGTGTAAAGATGACATGACTGGAATATGTTTTATGTTAGATGTGCCATGTAACATATCTCTGCAAAGACTATGATCTACTGGACATATTCATCCTAATTACATGCATGCATCAATTTGTATTCGAAGTTATGAATATTGGCGATTTACTTTCTTGATTTTAAATAGCCTCAGTGAAGCAGTTGGCCAGCTTCTTGAGAAAAGACTATTCTCAGTAAGTGCCCAATCAAGATACACTTAAGCTAACAATGAACTCTGAGATACGCCAATCCACATCTGAGCTTTCCTGGGGATCTGTCATCATCCGGTAAAGTTCTGAGTCATTCATGAACATGTGACTTGCCCATGTGACTCCAAAACTGTATCTTGCAGCTGGCTTCTGCATAGGAGAGGAGAAGGGATTTCCACCCAAAAGAGAAAGTCTATTTAAGCCCCTGGAAACTCCTCCCTTTTGTTTTCAGCTGTCTCAAGAGATAGCTTCTCCACCCCCAAAGGATACCTGAAAGAAATTAAAACAAAGGACTGTAACCATAGGGGTGTGAGTAATTGCTGGACCTAGACTAGAAGGAGGCTAGTCTGTAAAAGAAGCTTACTGGAACATCTCTGAGAGTGAGATTTCATCTTGAATCACTTTCTTACTGTATTAGGTATAGACTTGCGTGTTTTATTTTATTATGCTTGGTAATTCATTTTGTTGTGTCTGTTATTACTTGGGACCACTTAAATCCTACACTTTGTATTTAATAAAACCACTTTTGACTTATTAATTAACCCAGAGTATGTACTATGTATTAATATCTGGGGGGAGGGACAAACAGCTCTGCATATCTCTCTATCAGTGTTATAGAGGGTGAACAATTTATGAATTTATCCTATATAAACTTTATTCAGGGTAAAATGGATTTATTTGGGGTTTGGACCCCATTCGGAGTAGGATACCTGAGTGTTGGAGACAAGAACACTTCTTAAGCTGTTTTCAGTTAAACCTGCAGCTTTCGGGGGATGTGGTTCAGACCTGGGTATTTGTTTATAGCAGGCTAGCGTGTCAGGCTCAAACCAGGCAAGGCTCTGAAGTCCCAAGCTGGCAGGGAAGACGGGCTCAGAAGTAGCCCAGGCACAACAGGTGGCAGTTCCCAAGGGGGTTTCTGTGATCCAACCGGTCAGATCTGGTATTCTGGGAATGCCTCAGTGGCCAACCTAGTCGAGGGAAGAGCTGGGAAAAATTTTTCTAAGACATTGGCAGATTATTTAACTCATCTAAAAACATAGCAACATTTGTCACAAACAGGTTGAGGAAACCATTTCCCAATGACAAGTTACTTTGACCAGCTCTACCAACCTAAGCTGAGAGCAACACACACACCCCTGCCCCCCCCACCATATGCCAACACCACTCAGCATCTGCACACCAAACCCAACAACTGATATTAGACCAAAATGTCACAGCCCTCAGGACACTAGATGGTTCTGTGCCATTGGCAAAGAATAGGAGAGACTGAAGGGCTCCAGTGCCCAAGGCCCCCACAATGGCAGGGAAATTATTGAGATACACCCAGAAAATCCTGAGAAGTTACCTGCACCACACGCTGCTGAGGAAAGTGAACCCTCCACAATGTCCCTGCCAATCTGACCAGGGGGGAAATTCCTTCCTGATGCCCACATGTTGATCAGTTAGACCCTGAGCATGTGGGCAAGAACCAGCCAGCCAAGAACCCGAGAAACAGAGAATGGTTCGGTGTCACCTCAGAGCCCTGGCACATCCCACCCAATGTCCCATCTCCAGCCAAGGGTGCCCGATGCTTCAGAGATTTAAATAAAATCTCCCAGAATACACTGGGTCGGGGGGAGGAATCCCTTCCTGACCCCTGACAGTGGCCAGATGAAACCCTGAAACATAAGCTTTTAGGAACATAAGACATACGCTGTAAGTGAGCCCCAGGGTTGCTGAGCCCTGCCCCCCACCATCACAAGCAGCCCCGTCATACAGTCCCAATCAGACATGTGTCCAGCTCTCTCTTCAACTAATTCAGTCATTTGCCTCCCACAACTCCTATTGGGAGGTTGCTCCAGAACCTAGCCCCACCGGTGGTTAGAAACCTCCCTGTAATTTTTAGCCACTCTCTCCATCTCTCACACACCTGAATGTTCATGTGAGCCAGACTGGCTCTAGTGGTTAGGCCATGAATGGTGGTTTAGAAGACAGTGGGCCCAGTTCCCAGCTGGTGGTAATGGATATGCTGCTCCATTGGAAGCAGTATCTCAGATCTACAGATGCTGCAAATTGCTTTAGCGCCACCAAAGTCAATGGAACATGTTGAGGATCTACCCCAGTCTTACTCCAGTCTGACTCCTTTGGTTCCAGTGAAGCCAATACTGATTTATACACACAAGCAAGCAAGACAACTCCCATCATTGTTTTCAGTGGCTATGGAACAGGTGCTAGTGACCAAGCAGTGTAACAGGTATTGTTTTGGCACAGAATGAAAGCCTGAATTCCTCTCGTGCACACAATTTACACCCATTTACTCCACAACGGGACCACATTTTCTACTGGTGTAAATCACCCCAGCGACAGTGACATCAGTGAAGTTAATCTGGATTTGCACTGGTGCAACTGACGTCAAAATCAGACCTGGTTGTGTGCAAGCTGTGTGGTCATGGAAATAACTGACATTAATGAATACTTAAAGATACTACGTAAGCAAACTTTAATTAGAGAAAGACAGAAAATTGATTCTTGGTGAATTACCTACACCCAGTCAGTCTCCTCAGGGCAGCTTTGATCTCTTTGTTCCTCATGCTGTAGACAATTGGATTCACGATTGGTGGCAATACGGAATAAAGAACAGCCGCCACAAGATCCAGAGCAGATGGGGAGCTGGAGGTGGGTTTCAGATAGGCAAACATGCCAGTGCAAACAGCCGGCCCTGCTCAGAGGGGATGATTTGAGCACTGATTTGCACTGATTTGCACTGATTTGAAGATCTGAACATATGACACAATGATAAAAACAAAAGGAGCCTATGACTAAACACACAGTAAAGGCAAGAACCCCAACTTCACTCAGATATGAGCCATAACAGGTGAGCTTCAGCAGCTGGGGGATTTCACAGAAGAACTGATCCACTATGTTGCCTCCACAGAAGGTCAATGCAAATGTGTTTCCAGTATGTAGCACAGAGAAGAGAATCCCACTGATCCTGGCATTGGCTGCCATTTGGACACAAGCTCTGCTGTTCATCATTCTCTCATAGTGCAGTGATTGGCGGATGGCGACATATTGGTCATACACCATGACGGTGAGAAGGGAAAAATCCGCTGCCAGCAAGAAGAAGGGGGAAGAGACTTGGGCAACACATCCAGCATAGGAAATGAACTTAGTGTTCATGAGGGAGTTGGCCATGGATTTGGGAACAGTGACAGAGATGGAGCCAAGGTCTAGGATCAACAGATTCATCAGGAAGAAGTACATGGGGGTGTGCAGGTGGTGGTCAAAGGCTATGACCATGAAGATAAGAAGATTCCTCATCAGGGCTGCCAGGTAAATCAGTAGAAACCCCACAAAGTGCAAAATCTGCAGCTCCCGAACATCAGAGAATCCCAGGAGAAGGAACTCGGTCACGGTGGTTAGGTTGAGCATTTTCTTTCTCAGGACATCATGTGATGGTTGCAGAGGGAAGGACAAGAGCAAGGGCCAGGATTAGATCAGTAAAACAACTCTCCTTTTGTGATAACCACCTTAATTTCCTTCAGTCAGACACTTAGCTTGTGAAGATTGGTGTAATATGGGAATGAGGATGGGGAAAGCAGCTCCACTGATTCCAGTGGAGTTACTCCTGACTTGCACTGCGGTGAGAGAAAGTAGAATCAGCTCAATGGACTCCAGTGCAGTGACTACTAATTTACACCAGGGTGATGGAGAGGAGAATTAGGTACAAATGCTTTTGAGGTATTTGTATTTGTATACCTCTGTCACCCAGATGTGGGCGAACTCTGGATAACGTTGTATAAATGTTACTATCCTCAGTTTACCAAGGGGAATCAGGGGTCTGGCTGGACAGATTCTGCTGTCAGGGAACTGCTGTGAATGTTGTGGTGGCAATGATTGGGAACTCCATCATCATCACCTTGGTATGCACTGACTACCGCCTGCAGTCACCCATGTGTTTCTTCCTTTGCAATCTGTTCCTCATTGAAATCCCCATGATTATGACTGTGGTCCCAAAAATGCTGGAGAAGTTCCTATCAGGGAGGAATACCATCTCCTTTTATGGCTGCCTGGGTCAGTCCTACTTCTATTTCCTGCTGGGCATTTCACAGTATGTCTTGTTGGTCACAATGTCCTACGATCAATATGTGGCCATATGTTACCCACTGAACTACAGCACCATCATGAATAGAAAGGTCTGCGTCTGGCTGGTGGTGGGATCATGGATGGGGGGATTCTTCTCCATCTTGGTCCCTACCGTGATCAAACTTGGATTGCCCTACTGTGGCCCCAACATCATCAACCGTTTCTTCTGCTACCGCACGCCCTTGTTATACCTCACCTGTGCCGACATCTGGCTGGTGGAATTCATCAAATTCATCATCTCGCTGCCTGTGTTGCTAGGCTCCGTGATGCTGATGGTCATCTCCTACGTGTATATTATCTGCACCATCATCTGTATCCCATCCGCCAAGGGCAGGGAGAAAGCTTTCTCCACCTGTGCCTCTCATTTCACTGTGGTCACCATTGGCTATGGCACTTCCATCTTCATCTACATCATGCCTTTGCAAGTCAACTCCATGAACCTCAACAAGGTCGCCTCTTTGATGACCACAGCAGTGACCCCAATGCTCTACCCACTCATATTCAGCCTCAGGAACCAGAAGGTCAAGGAGGTGTTGAGGGTCTCAATTGACAAGTGCCTGGGGCTCATCAAACACACACTCTGAGCTGGGGTAAGAAGGAGGCAGTGCAGAAGTATTGAGGTTTTGTATTCCCTGGTGCTGCTGCTTTAGTTCCAGTGGAAGATGTCCATGGTCATGATTTTTCAGGGTGCAGTCAGCCTCTTGGAGTTTGCTGAGCACCCACAACTCCCATTGCAGTCATTGAGGATGTTCGGCATTTCCCAAGAAGCCCCAGGCAGGATCAGAAATGAAGGCCTAAGTGTTCTTTTCAATGCTGCCCATGTGTAGTTTAGCTGCTCCTTGTGTTTGCTGTGCTGATGGCTTGGTTATAAACTGACAAGTGATTTATAAGTGCCCCACAGCAGCAGCATCCACTGATCCACCATTTAGGATTATAGCATTTCAGCTAGGGACAAAGACCATGCTCAAGATGTTGATTGTTTCCTATTGTTTTCTGTGACCAGTGCAGAAGAAGTGGGTATTTTAGGAGGGAGGTATGACAACATATACCAATATGAATAAAAGAACAGTTTTATTTAATAGTTCTTTCTTTCTTTCTTTCTTATTTTAAAATCACTCCTTTCAGGTCAGTACTGCAGAAGAAGCTGCCTTTAGAAGGGAAATATAATAAAAATATACCAATCAGAATATAGAAAATAAAATATTCTGAATTTAAAAAGGAAAATACAATGTATGCATTTATTTGGGCACAGTATATCTCTTGTGTGAAAGTGAGACTCTTCATAATCAGCATTTTACAGATGTGTAAACTGAGGCACAGACAGGTGAATCAATTTTCTCAAAGTCATACAGTGAGTCAGAAACAGAATCCAGGAGTAATCACTCTCAGTCCTCTACTCTAAACAATTAGATGTTTCTTCATGCCAGAGCTGGAAATAGAAGCCAGAACACTCAGGGCCCCCTTGCTCTAACCACTAGATCCCACTCCCCTCCCTGAGCAGGAAATAGAAGACAGAAGTAGAGCTGAGTGAATCACTGATTTTTTTTGGTTCAAAACTATGGAAAAATAAAAATAAAATTGGGTCAACCAGAAATAGATTTTTTTCTTCCCCAAAATGGAAAAAACCCAAACAATTGGGTTAAACAAAAACAAAACATTTTGGTTAACCTGAAATGAAACATTTAATTTTGTTTTGGTCAAACAAAACACTTCATTTGACCAAAATTATTATTATCATTATTTTGTTTGTTTCATTTTGTTCTTCGGGGTATGGTGGTTGGCTTTTTTTGATTTTACCATGTTGTTTGTTTTTAAAATAAAGCTAGTTAACCATCAAAAAAAAGTCATTTTGGGGAAAAAAATCAAAATGTTTCATTTAGTAAATGTTAAAATGAGCTGATTTTTTTTTCAGACAAAACTATTCACAAAATTTGATCTGAATTCATGAATAGTTTTGGTTGCCCTGAAACTGCGTTTTTTTGACTAATAAATTATTTGTCATTAAAATTTTGCCCACCTTTACCCAGAAGCCCAAACTAATAGGCCTCCCTGATGTAACATATAGAGCTTAAACCTTTTAGTTCACACAGTCAAGAGAGCAGTTAGGAAAAGAACACAGAGATCAGTTCTTCCTTATCTCCATTCTGTAAACCCAGCTTGGACACTTATTATCTGTCATTACCGCCTATGGCTGATGCTTACAGATGATCTAAGCCTCTGACTGCCAGATGATGGGACTGGACCACAGGGGATGGATCACTCAAAAATTGCCCTGTTCTGTTCATTCCTTCTGAAGCATCTGGCATCAGCCACTGTTGGAAGACAGGACACTGGGCTAGATGGACCATTGGTCTGAGCCAGTATGGCCATTTTTATGAGACAAAATACTACAGAATCAACAGTCTGACCTCTCACAAATAGAGATGAGTGATTTTTTTTGAATAGTTTATTCACCAAAAAATGCAGTTTTGGTTGACCCAAAACTGTTCTGCCGTGAGTGTCAAGTTTGCCAGTTAGTTTTGAGCAAACTAAAAAAAAAATCAAAATGTTTTGGTAATGTTGAAGTTAAATTTTTCATGTCAATCAAACTCGACAAATTTTGCTTTGATTTCAGTCATTTTGACTAAAGGAAAGGAGGATGAGATTCACAAAATGTCATGTGGGATAGAGGGGAAAGGAGACCTCCCTTTTAAACTTTCCATTACGAAAATATCTAAATTTCTGTTAAAACCGCAAAATGTACCCAAGCTAAAATTTGTGTGCATTGCTTGCTAAATAACTGATAACTATCTGTTTGTAAGAGGCGTCCCACCCATACTGGTGACCACAAGGCCAGAGGAGTTAAGATAAACAAGAAAGTACAGTTAAGGACAAAAACAGGGAAGCTGAGGCAAAAAGGAAAGTATAGTAGAGAAAAACAACTTTGAGCTAAAAGTAGCCAATAGATGAAGCGGTCACCTTATATAGGTTAGGTATAATTAATAACAATTAAACCATGGAAAGGCTAATATTGTGTGTGTTTTATATTAATTGGAAGCTGTGTAATGCTTTTTGCTAATTGGAAGAAATTTATTGAATATGTACAAATATGCTACTGTATAAGGGGGTAATTGGAACATTACTGGAGAAATTCATCATGACCTGCCTATGCCACAGGAGAAGTTAACTGGTCCTAACCTTTTTCTGCCTATCTGTCATTGTCTACTGCTTTAACAGTGGCTGTTAACCTCAAGAAATGCTTTTGGTTCAAATAAAGGTTTGACCCGACCCGAGTGTGTTGGCCGAAATGTGCTATAGAAAACCCAACAGTTCCCCGCTCTACCTCATGTGGAGATCTGTGAAGTTGGGTCTTCTACGCTACAAAAGAGCGCCCTAATCATTGGATTATGGGATGGTCTGGTGTAGGGCTCTCTCTCAGTCTTTGATGTTGAAGCTGCTCCACTATGTATAAATAATAAACAGAGACATGAACTTAGCTCTTCAACATCCTAGATGAACACTCGAAACACTAGACTTTAGAGTCATCCTCATGCTCTTGTCCCTGGCCCAATGACTATTAATTGTTATTCATAGTGGCAATTCTTAGCCTATCTCACCTGCAGGGCCTGATCCAGTAGGAGTGCTCTGAGGTAGCCCAACTCCACACAGGGGGCAGCAGGAGGAACTCCATTATAACCTTTAGCTCAATTGTTAGGGTGCTCACCTGGGATGTGAGATGCCCTGGTTCAGATGCCCTCTCCACATTGAGTAGAGGGTGAAATTAAACCCAGGTTGCTAACTTACCAGGTGAGTGTTCTAACAAGTGGGCTAAAAGCTATAAGGCATTGCTTCTTCTCCCCAGGCATGTCTTGCAAAAAATGGCATAGGTACCTAACTCCAGGAGAGGATTCACAGCTGAAAATCCTAAACAGAGCTAGGTGCCTACCTCCAGCCCAGATTTAGGAGCTGAACTCCCTGAGAGGCGCAGGCTTAAGACACATCCCTCTCATTGGCATCTGGCTTTGGCTAATTTAAGCATCTCCCTGTCTAGCATGATGGCTTCTGTGGATCCCATTCTTAGGTGCCTATCTCTTCCCATTCATTGTATAGGGAGCCTGGGTGCCTAAATCAGGATTTGTGGATTCCACTGGCTGTCTTGGTGTCTTAAAATTAGGTGTTGCAACACATTGCAATGCCTTAGTCTTTTTGTGGATCTGGGCCTTGGCCACCCAGTGAAAACCAGAAACAAGAGGTTAGGAACATTGGGTCCCTCATCCCCCGTGGGTGTCCCTACCCCTGGGTTACAAGTTATGAGTCAGGTTGGCAGAATTCATTTATTAAAAAATAATTTTGAGCAATATTATTGATGTTTATTTTTAAGCTCCCCCCCAATTTCTATTGATTTAGGATTTCACAGTTGTGCAAAATCAGGGGTTTTAAGTTCCCCCTCCCCTCATCCCCGCAATGTTTATCAATTTAAATTTTCACAGTTGCAGGAAATTATGGTGGAGGGGATCATACAATAATTATTTAATGACAGTAGATGCTGAGTGTCAAAAAGTTAAAGCTTTATAAAATGTTATAATACACATTGTCACATCACATGTGAAAATATACAAAGTAAATATCCTTAAATAAAACTGTAATAAGTTCTCAGGTTTTTCTTACTTTGCCTGTCAGTTTTGATTATCAATGGAAATATTTTTTCGTCGGTTTGTGGGTGTTTGGTGAAATCAACATTTATTAATATTTACCAATAAAAAATGAATCCTTCATAGCCTAGTTATGAGAGAAATCCTCCTTCCCCCCCTACACTGTTTTGTGTGGATTTCGGCGTGCTCAGAACCCACCAACCAGATCAAGTTCCACAGAAGTGCAGTAATGCCTATGTTCACCTGGGTCTGAGGATCCAGCTGGGACATAGACTTGAGACAGGCACCTCAAGTGAGGCAGCAGTGTGCATGCCTAGAGGCAGAAACATAAGCACTTTGCAGCAAAACTTTAGGCATTGAGTGAATTAAGGCACTTACAGGGTTAGGCAACAGCTAAGTGGGGGCTTTGAGGATCTCAGTCGTGCCTAAATTTTGAACGTAGGTGTCTAAAGTAGTAGTGTTGTGTTAAATAAGATGGAATATGTGGGCCCAAAAAGTCAGAGGTGTTAGCATAACCCTGTCACTGGCCAATATCAAACAATGTTAAACAAGTTTCAGGGTTTGATACACACAGGCCTCAGCCTGCTTAATCCCACGGCAAACACACCATTAAAATCCTTTTAACCTTTTATTAAAGATAAAGAAAAAAAGAAAGCACAGTTAAAGCATTTGAAATGTAAGGTATTAAATAAGGCTTTCATTTTAACAATGTCCCTCGCTCCCTATCCCTTTAGCTGAAGAGAGTTTTAGAAGGGAAAAAAACAACAACCCTTGTCTGTCAGTCTCTTAGATGGCATCAAAGATGGTAATAACTGTCCTTTGGAGGGAAAGTAAAGAAATTAGTTGAGATGGGCTGGAGATGTTATTGTTAAAATCCCTCCAATCCCATTTCATTTGAGGCGGTGTTTGGGACTTAAGCTGTTTATAACATTTATTAGTGAACTTTCCATAGTTAATTCCCAAGCAGCCAAAAATTATGCGCCCAATTGTCACAGCAGTAGTTAGGCACCTAAATGCTTTTCTGGGTCTGGGTCTTAGTGCTAAAGGACCTGCCCTGAGTAAATGGAATAGATATAATTAGAAGTGAGCACCTCCTGTTGCCCAGACCAGTTCCTAACCCCCGGACTATGCTGCGTACCAAAGAAGTGTAAGGAACACAATAATTATATGGTAGGAGGCACGTGAAATGAATTAAATGGCACATTAAAGGTCTCTGCCATCACAAGTGAGCCTATGACATATGGGCAAAGACTAAAACATTCTGAAAGGTACCAGTAGTTGGGTTCACAGATGGTAACCTAGTTAAAATTTATTGGAAAAAAAGTGTCATTTTTTTAAACTTTCCATGTACATCTCAAAAAGTGGCTCTGGGATTCTCCAATGAGTGGATCCCCTGGGGTACCTGTGATCATTTAAACTAGTCAACCTCACCCAGTTGAGGCAGACCTACTTCACAGAGAATGGCAAGTAGATCATTCGTGAGACCAGAAGAACTAGAGTCAACATATAAAAGTACAATTCGCTTAGATGTGACAATACCTGTTGGACAAGTCAAAAGAACCTGATGTTGCAGGTGCTGTTTGAGGGCTTCTCACGACTTGACATGAAGGGAAAAATCAGAGCGATTGCTTCTTTTCAGTCTTTGAAGAAGTTCAGAATAAACTACTTTAGTATTTAATCCAAAAGAGCAGGGACTAGAATTTAAAAATTACCCTACAAGAATTTATTCTACAGTAGTTGTTGATGATTTGAGGCACAGGGCTCAATCTGTGTCTAGCTGGCTTAGCCTTATGGTATCTTCCTAACATCACAGACCTAGACTAACGTGAGTAACTGTTCTGCTCCCCGTTCTGTTTATTTGTTTCCTTTTGTTGTTTTTGTTTTCCCTCTTCTCTTTCCTTTTTTAATATCTTTGTTCTCCGTTTTGATAACTTTTTTTCTTATATTTTCATTTCCCCTTTCTCCTTTCTCACCTTTCTTTTCTTCCACTCATCTTTTCTTCTTCTTTTTTGTTTTTTTCTTTCCTTCATTTTACTTTGATTTTTTTTTGGTTCCTACACTTTCTGTTTATCTTTTTTCCCCTTTCCTTTTTATTCTCTTTCTTCATTTCTCTACTTTCATTTTCACCCTCTCATTTCCTTTATTGCTTTTCTCTATTCCTTTATTTTAACTTTTACTTCTCCTTTCTCTTTTTACTTTTTTATTTCTTTCCTTATTTTTAAGGCTAGTCCAAATATTTCTATCAAAACTTTTTTTTCGACCAAAAAAAAAAAGGGGGGGGTTTTCAATTAAACTAAAACCTTTGTGGTAAGTGTCTGCTTTCTGTGGGCAATTTTTGACTTTTCATTAAGAAAATAAAAAAAAAACAGAAAGTTGAAGAGTTTTCAGCGAAAACTTTTCTTTTTTCTTCCTCTTTCTCCCCCACACCCCAAAAAAAGTCAAAAATTTGCACAGGGAAACAATTCCACCCAGCTTTGCTATGCTTTATTTTTTGGGCTTTTCTCTCCTCCACTTTTCTTTCCTCTTCTGTTTGTTATTAGTTTCCTCTTCTCATTGTCTTCCCTTCCCTGCTCACATTTACTTGTTGTTCTTCCCATCTCAGCCTTTGCCCACAGGGTAAATTTTTATTTCCTGTATTGTTCTTTTGTCTTCTTCACTTTTCTTATTTCACCCTTGCTTTCCTCCTCTACATTTTATCATTTTTCCTCCTTATCTCTCTTCCTTTTCCTTTTATGTTCTCTTCTGATCTTTTCTTTCCTCTTCTCTACTCTTCTGTTTTTCTACTTTTCTTTTCTCCTGTTCATCTGACACATTATTCCTTATTCCCTCCATCCTCCCTCTACCCCGCACAGATAGCTCCAATGTACCCATGTGGAACCAAACCAAGATAACCGAATTCATCCTCATGGGATTCGTCTACCCCCGCCATCTAGAATGCCTCATGGCTGCTGGCTTCCTGGCCTCTTACCTGCTGATCTTGTCTGGCAATATCATGATCATCGCCATCATCCTCTTAGACCGTCACCTCCACAGCCCCATGCACTTCTTCCTCTGGAACCTCTCCTGTTTGGAGATCCTTTTTACATCTTCTGTCCTACCCAAGGTGATTGTCAGCTTCCTGACGGGTGACAGGTCCATCTCCTACCTGGCTTGTATCACTCAGTGCTACTTCTACTTCTTTCTGGGCTGCAGCGAGTTTGTCCTGCTGGCCGTTATGTCCTATGACCGCTACGTGGCCATCTGCAACCCACTGCACTACACCATGGTCATGAATGCTCAGCTCTGCTTCCAGCTCGTGGTGGGGTCGTGGGTAACGGGGTTCCTGGTCACCATCATCCACATCATCCTGATCATCACCCTGCCCTTCTGCAATGCCAACCAGATCGACCACTTCTTCTGCGACAGCTTGGCCTTGGTCAAGCTGTCATGTGTGGACACGAGCTTTGTGGAGCTGCTGAGTTTCATGACCTCCTCCGCCATCCTCCTGGGCTCCTTGATCCTGACGGTGGTGTCTTATACCTACATTGTTGCCACCATCTTCAGGATAACCTCCCTCTCAGGACGCAAGAAGGCTTTCTCCACCTGCTCCTCCCACTTCATCATCATCACCATGGGCTACGGCAGCTGCATCTTCATGTATGTCCGGCCTTCGGGCAGCGACACCTCGCTCAACAAGCTGGTGGCCCTGCTCAACACAGTGGTGACCCCTCTCATGAGCCCCTTTATCTTCAGCATGAGGAACCAGCAGATGAAAGATTCCCTGAGGGCTGCCTTGAAGAGAAGCATGAACTTCTCAAGGAAGCATATTAACTTCTGAATGGGTTTTGTGAGGGGAAAAGAAGGGGAAGTTAAACAAGAGTAATAGTTATAGTACTCTCCTAAGATATAGTACTCTCCTAAGAAGTGGTAGTTCCCTGTTCAAATCCCTTTTCTCCTAAGGCAGAGTGGGAAATTGAAGCTGGGTCTTCTGCTTCCTAGTTGAGTATCCAAATGACTGAGCTAAGAGTGATGAATGAGTCATTCTTCTCACGCTTCAGTCCTCTTGCGATAAACACCTTTGGTGCCTGACCCCAAGAAAGCTGACAGATAGGCACCTCCCTGGAATCTCCCATTGGCTAGCATAGATGAGGAACCCCTGAGCATGCTGGCTTTTGTGAATCCCATTTTTAGGTGCCTACCTCTCCCCATTCATTGTGTAGGGAGCCTGGGTGCCTAAACTGAGGCTTTGTGAATCCCTTTGAATTTCCAGGTACATAAAAGTCAGCTGCTTCAATTACCAGCACCGGGACATCTATGTCCCTTTGTGAATCTAGCCCATGTTTTCCTGGTCTATTATTGGGGATCCTAGTTGATCCTGAAATACAAATAATAAATATTAAAGACTATGAAATACATGACAGTTATGTAGGAGTGGTTATGGGGTACACATATTGTGCCAATGCGATGGTGTAATCATGATGCAATCATGGTAAAATGGACTGTGCATCATTATCTCTCTCAAGCTAACTCATCAAAATAAATGACTCATCTATCTACCTATTGACTCTATCTATTCAGGATATCTACCACCAAAAGTTCCTGCCTGTGCCCCAGAGCACATGCTCAAGGGGTGCAGGCTCTACATCATGCCCCCCTTAGCACTGCCCCCAACAAGTCTCTTAGCACTGCCCCCTAACCAACCAGCACTGAAGGGCGAGAACTGATTTTGACATCTGGAGTGTGAAAAGTTTGACGGGAGGGGTGTGAAGAAATTTGTCAAGGTGTGTGTAGCGGGGTGGTCATCCACTCCGGCCCAGAGGGGCTTAAAACAGCATAGGAGAGGACTGTTGCTGGAGCAAGTAGCTTCCAGGCTGATTCGAGAAGCAGCCTCAGCTGTGGCCATGCCCCAATCAGGGCCCAGCTGGCCCTTATAAGTGGACCATGGGCCAGGAAGGAGAGACACACACTCTCTCTCTACCCTGTTGAGAGGGAGGTACCTGGCTGCGGGGAGCATACCAAGCTACCTGAGGTGGAGCAGGGCTGGGGGGAAGGCCCAGGGAGCTGGGAAGCCCCGGCCTGGAAACTCCCCAGGCTACGGCCTAGTGAAAGGCCAAATAAGGTACTGGAGTTGCAGGGGGCAGCCCAAGGAGGTAGGCAGAGGCAGCAGGTCCAAACCCCATTGCCTGTGATGAGTGGCATTTAAACTGCAGTTTGCCCCTGTGAACGAGGGCTAGATGGAGACTGGGCAGTAGCCAAAGACTGAGGCGAGATGGGGATAGTGGGTGGGGGTTCCCTGGGGAGGGGAGACCCAGAGACTGAGGGGTGGACATCCAGGGGCAGCACCCAGAGAAAAGGGCACCAGGGCCGGGAGGGACACAGGGGCCAGTAAAAGCGGGACACCGACCGGCAGAGAGTGCTCCGACGGCTGGAGAACTAATTCCCAGAAGGTACCAGGAGGAGGCGCTGCAAGGGTGAGTCCCCCACGGCTACAGTGTGCAAGATGTGTATTCCATAACTACATTGACAGCCCACTTGGATTTTCACAAAATTCTAATTGAGGAGGCTCTCAAATGCCATTCAAAGTCAATGGGAGTTGGATGATTGTGAGTCTTCGCCTTCATGTTTTAATGGAATCATGTCCCAGAGTAAGAATCCCTTTCCCCAGTGCTTCCCAGTCTGTTGAAAACTGAGATTTGCTTCAGGGAACTGAAACCAATCACAGACTATGTCCACCAGTCTATGGTTATTCAGTCATTTTTGAGGACCTTAATGATATGGCTAAAATAATGAAGACCGAGATTGTCAGTCACCCAACTTCCCTTGATTTTGAATTGCATTTGGGAGCCTATGTCCAGCAGACTCCTTTGAAAATCCAAGTCTACAACCATGTAGGGAGTGATATCAATCCTCAGATGATCCAATCAGGACCGTGGATCTATTGATCTGCCCATAATAAGGGTGTAATTGAAAATTGGTGCCTTCACTGAAGAGCTATCAATTAAAGAAGACAGTTGGCCTCCACAGGAAGGAGGAGAGAGATTATGAAATACTTACATACTCAGAACCAGCTCCCTGATGTGCCCTGTTCTCTAAAAATTTTGACTCCCATCTGCCCCCAAGTCACCCGCCCCACACACTTTAACTGCTACACCCACTCCTCTCCCAGAGCTAGGAATTGAACCCAGAAAAGCTGATGCTCAGCTACCTGCTATAACAGTCGATCTTCTTGGAACAGACTTCTCTCAGGTCATTGGAGAAGTGTCCTTACTATGTTATTCACAAACATATTTATCAATCAGAGGTTTTATTATTCGTATACCGCCTCTTCTTAATAATCATGATTGGCAAAAAACACGGTCAAGAAAAGATTGGCTCTAAAGGCTGAGACTGTTGCCATCTCAGTGTCATAACTATGTCAATTGCCAAGATCTGATGTCTGAGAGGAAGGTGAAGAAAACCCTTATAAAACAAGGCAATAATGCAACTCTGCACATGAGGACAGAGTTCCTCCAGTGGCCCATCAAACAGCTCAGGCTAAGACTGAAGTACCGAGAGTTCCAGCACACTGTCCCACTAACCTGCTTCAGCCCTGTCTTGGGGAGCCTGCATCCAGGTGTCCCAGGCTAGCTCAATGTCCATGGTCCTTCCGTGTCAAATACACTCCAGGCCTGTGCACCACTCAAGGCCTTTGCAGGTTTAGGCTAGGATTTTCAAAGGAGCGAAAGGGAGATGATTGTCCAGTTCACACTGAAAGTTACCCCCAATGGGAATGGCTTGGGAATGACACTGGAGTGAATTTCACCACTAGCCCTTGGCCACTGAGATGAATTTACCCAGAAGTTTGAAAATTATTTCCAAGGCTGTTGGTAAATACATTTTAGACATGGAGACTTGTCCACTGGGAGCTGGTCTGAGAACCACTGCATACATTTCACATGAGACAACAAGCAGCCATCATGTGGTAACAAATTGGAGTCACTCCTGCCAGGGAATAGATCTGAACTGAGATTTAGAAATTAATGGTGGGAAGAGCTGACATCCCTGGAGGATGCTGTTCTTGGCTTTCTTGATATCTAACACAGGTTGGAAATGCCCCTGTGAATTTCCCTACACACACTCTTGACCAGTGTGCCTCACCTCTGTCTTTAAGAAGTCACTCTAAGGATGAGAGGGGAGTTAATAACTACCCATGGTCCAGTGAGTTCTCAGCTCCATCCTGAGAGTGTCAACAATGGAGGGCAATGTGTTCCCAGTTGGATGTTGAGATCATGATGAAGTGAACACCATGTCTCTTTAAAGACTAGTCAGACCTCACACCAGTTCCACCAAGATCTATGCTGTTGAGATCACTGGCAATTATTGCTAAAAGCTTTTGGCCTACCTATCAATTATGTTTGTTCTTGACATTTGTAGATACAATTTATACATCTTTATTATATGTTTTTCAGGAGCCTGTTCCCGAGAAGCTTATATAAATTGTCCAGGCTCTATGGGCTTAGGCCATTATTGCAACAAATATGTCTTAATAATGAATTATATGTCTACAGTAAATGCTTGGAGAACTGTCAGTAAAACAATATTCTGACCTTTACCAACAAGTACAGTTGACACTGCAATTTGGATCCGACCATCACTGAATTTAATGGTAGTTTCTTTATTGCTGAGTTGATTTCATTGATCAAAGTGCTTACAAACAGAATACAATTACTAATTCTCCCAGGCACCCATAGTCAGAAAAAACCCTGGGGATTTTATCCTAGTGGTTACTGAACAGTACAGAAAGGATCAATGTATGAGATTCACTAGCAGAGAAGCTTTTCTGTCAAAGATAAGTCAGTTTCAGAAATGATGGAACTGCTCAGAAGTGGGAAGTTTCAACGGCTAAGAGCAAGGTATTTGTGGGTGAGTCTGAGGCATTTTTCTTCTTTACTATTATGACCCCAAGTTCATTTTCTGGAGTCATGAACACCTAAATTATCTCCAGAATTGAAGGAAAAATAGAGCAACCTCTTTCTCTCTCTCTCTCATCTAATCACTCAATCTAACTTACTCTTATGTATCTAATCTACAGAACTGTCCTTCATTTCTTTCTCTCTGTCTTATCAAAGGTACTGTGCATAAAGTCTTTCTATCAAGTCAACTAAAGTTAATCAATGACTCATCCATCTGCCTATTGATTCTATCTGTTTACAATGTCATTTTCAAAGGCACCTAAAATATATTAATCTACAGGATTGTCTGTCATCGTACTCAGATTTGAGAGTCCCACAGACACACTGGAGAATCTTGTCTATCTAGAAGAACAGAAATTGGTCCAGTTGTGTTCCAGTAACGAGAGAGGTAAATCTAACCACATTAGCTCGCTGTAAAGTGTAAGATTAGACAAGACCAGCCATGTGTCTGGGCTGTTTGTTGCTGGTTTGTCTAATGCTTTTTCTCTCAACACTCTGGTATCTCATTCTCATTAATGGGATGACACTGTGTGAGGTAGGGAAGTGGGAACAAATGTGGGGGTACTCTTTAATAATCATTCTTAGGGCTGCATGTCTGTCACAATGGGAAAGAAGTTACAGACACTGTGATTTTCCCATTTGTTCATGACTTTTTTTGTGTCCATGATTCACCCTGAAGTGGGGGCTCCTGCAGTGCCTGTCCTGGGGGATGTCCCCAGCCCCCCACTCCAGGCATTGTGACCAAGTGCACGGGGTCACAGCAGGACTCAGGTGTGGCCCAACTGCCCCTCTGGAGTGGACGCAGCAACTACCAATGCCTGTTCCTAAGATGAGTGTGGGACAGGGTGTCAATCGCCAACCAGAGATGAGTAAGATCCAAGAGACAGAACACCTGATCTGTGTTCACACAATCATCTATCTATCTATCTATCTATCTATCTATCTATCTATCTATCTATCTATCTATCATGAGATACCATGCAAACCCCTGAGAGGGATCTAAATACCTATGTAGTCTCAACAGGTCCGAGCTATGGAGGAAAACCTAACTGCAGTGACAGAATTTATCTTTCTGGGTTTCTCGGACCTCCAGCATCTGCAGCCCCTTCTTTTCATCCTCATCTTACTCATCTACTTCATCACACTGTTAGGAAATGGCCTCATCATCGCTGTCACGGTTGCTGACCTGGCCCTC